TATTTTAAGTTTCATGCCAGTTGTACCAAAGCTTTATGTAAGCGCTATAGCGCATGATAAGTTTCAAATGGCATGCAACATGTACGCACTGCGTACCTATTTTTTCTTAAAGCTTTCCTTTTTCTCTCAGTTCGATCAATGATTCATTTGTGTCTTAAGTGCAAGTAATAATGGCATTATAAGTAAATGAATTAAAGCTATTGCATAAAAAGGCGTAGGTACTTGGTTTTGATGAGGCATTGCCAATTCGCCTTTTCGACCTTAAAGACATGTGTAGCAACACATGACCAAAAAATGTAAACAAATGCCAAAAGTTCGGACAAGCTTTTGTTCGAACATACAATTGATTGTATGTTCGATTGGTTTGAACAATTAAGTTTGTCCGAACTTTTGGTATTTGTTTACATTTTGGCATTTGTTTACATTTTTTTTTACATAATTTAATAAGTTGATTTTTTTATTAAGTATCGATTTGTTATTGCATCCTAACATTTTTAATCCTCTAATCTCAGTCATTCGAAATAATATTCCCGAACCAATCGTTCAAATTTAAAAGGCAAGCCACCTTAAGAAAGCTAAATGATTAAGAGAGGATGTCCACAAAAATCAAACATAAAGCGGCCACGACTGAAAAATCGATTTTGCTCAAATTTTGCCCAGATATACCTTATTATATCGGAAAATGCACCATATATTTTTTTAGCTCAAATGCTTTTTTAACTTTGAGAAAATGCCGTTTTAACATGACCACCCTAAATCGCCATTTCTTCTGGGAAAATATGCGCTGATTTTACAGATAAATTTCACGACGACAACCGTTTCTAATCGATCTAAAACCCTAAAAATCTTGTTTTCGGTTATTCAAAGGACTGTGTACATGACTTACAGGAAATCTGAGTTACTTTTAGGAATAGAAATAATCGTAGTTTTGGAGCACACTATCTTACTTCATTTGCGATACCCTCTTAACAAAATCGATTTTCACCATGCGATAAAGCTCCAAATCGATCATGCTTCTACTAGTTGGCTCTTTAATAAAGAAGCTTTCAATTGACGTAAATACTTCTTTTGGCAAATGAATACGCGATAAACGACAGCGCGTTGAAATCTTCCGTTTTTGACGTCTTGCAAGTCAAACGCTGTTAATTTATACACCGTCGAAGTAAACAATTTAATCAAGTATTCTAAGTATTTTACCTTTTGAGAAAAAACATATTCTTGAATGGGGACTTTTCACTTTGCTAAGTTTAAAAGTGGTCCAGAAATCCCAGTATATTTGTAAAAAAATCATCAAACATCCAGTATTTTGAGACATTGTTGACGGTTGCATGATAACTTCAGATCATTATTCAACGTGATCTACGACCCGGCCGTTTGACTTTAGCGCTAACATATACAAATCGATGAGCTATTTAAGGATTATATTTGCTACTAAATTCCCCAAAAGAATTGGAACTACAACTGCTGTTTTCAGAGGTTTTGATCCATTTTGTCCATATTAATGTACCATTTTATTTATCGACTGATGTTTACAAATACGTAAGTTAATTATTAAGCAGCTGTTAGCGTGCGTGTACATGTGAGATGAACGTTTATAATGTTTATCCATATAAGGAGTTTTTATTTTTAGTTTACCAGCCCTTATATTTGAATAGTCATTTTCTTTCAAGTTGTTTTCTTTTTTATACTCTGCAAAGTTGATTCCGAAATGTTAAGGTATTGGAAAAAACTATCGAACTTTTCCATGATATTTACAGAGAAACGTCACAGCTGTAAACCCCCCTCCCCCAACCCCAAAACGAACATAGGACGTTTCTTGTGGAAAAATCGATATGTGAGGCTTCCCTAAAACTGCAAGGTTTACACTATTGAATTAAAATCCCACAGACCACAACGATTATACGTATTGATTGTTTCTTGACGATAGTAGACGCGTACGTGCATGTTGCGGAAGAGGTTATTTCGCTGGCCTCAGAGTGACAAAAGGTACTCTGGTTCTAGAGGTTTAAAATAATAAAACCTCTGTTTGAAAGCGGCAATTAATTCATCGAGCCGCGCCAATCAGCTTGAATTAGCGTAGATAACTGATAAGACAAGGGCGGCGCCAGGGCCGCGCATGCAGGGAGGCGGCAAAGGGAGCAATTTTCTCCGCGACCCCAGCTCAAGGAAGACAAGCAAATACAAATTTGCAAGGCGATAAAAAGTTTGTCGACGGAGGGGGGTAATTGTGGTTCACCGGGGCCTCAAGGGTATAATTGGCCCTGGGGCCCCATATTTCACTGAGCTGGTTTGGGCTGCGCCAGTATTTCTCCGACGGGGGGAGTCATCAGTGCCCTCTTTTGATCTCTGTCAATTGGCATTAAAACCGCAAGAACTACCGACAAGTGACCAGGGCTGGATTAACGTCGCGCGAGGCCCGTGGCAAATTTTAGCGCGAGGCCCCCAAACCTCCCCCTTTCTTCTTTTTATGAAAACCATTGAATTTAAAGACACACAAAAGTGTTAAATAATTTTTTTCAATATTTCAATTTATTTGCATCAATTATAAACGAGATAATGGCCTGCCTGGCGCAGTTGGTGGGTATAAACAGGATCATAATATAACAGCTCAACGCAACTAAAGATTATATGAACACGAGTATTGCATATTTTCCCGGGGCCGTGCTAGGGCGAACTGCCAAGCCTAGGGGCCCTAAATGCACGAAGTCCCTAAATTCCCGAGGCACCTAAAATGTGTGTATCCCAATAGAAAATGGCTGTGTTCTCGTAAAAATGGGCGTAGCACAGTAAAGCGCGAGGCCCACGGCATTTGCCGTATTTGGCACGTGGTTAATCCGGCGTTAAACGAGCAACAAGTTTTCATTTTCTTTAAACGCGACGTATGGGGAGACAATAATAATTTGTGATGTCGCACTGGGCCAAAATACTTAATGCTGTATTTTTGGGTACTAGTACTTGTGAAATATAATAAGATCAATAGACATTAGTGTATCAAAATAAAGTAATTTTACTGATTATTTTAACTGTGCATCAAAGTAAACACACATTATTCTAAACTACAGTATTTGCTATATGCCTATAATTTGAGTTTGAGGTGGTAGAATATATAATAAAATAACAAATCCTTGTATGGATAAATGTTCATTTCACACGCACGCTATTAACAGCTGCTTAATAATTAACTTATATATTCGTAAACATTTATACTCGATAGTCGATATGTAAATACTAAATGGTACATTATATGGATCAATGCAAACTGGAACAAAACAACAATTGTCAATTGAAGTTCTAATTTTGGGAAATTTAGTAACAAATATAAAATCACTGAACAGCTCATCGATTTGTATGTTTGCGCTATTAAAAGTAGACAATATTGAACAATGATCTGAAGTTGTCACGCAACTGACAACAATATTATATTTCAAAATACTTGTATATGATGATATTTTACAAATATCTCGGGATTTATGGACCAATTTTAAACTAAGCAAGGTAAAAAGTCTCCATTCAAGAATATATCTTCTTCTCAAAAGGTAAAATACTTAAAATACTTGATTAAATTGTTTACTTCGACGGTATGTAAATTAACAGCGTTTGACTTGCAAGACGTCAAAAACGTACGATTTCAACGCGCTGTCGTTTATCGCGTATTCATTTGCCAAAATAAGTCTTTACGTCAATTGAAAGCTTGCTTATTAAAGAGCCAACTAGTAGAAGCATGATCGATTTGGAGCTTTATCGCATGGTGAAAATCGGTTTTGTTAAGAGGGTATCGTAAATGAAGTAAGATAGTGTGCCCCAAAACTACGATTATATCTATTCCTAAAAGTAATTCAGATTTCCTGTAAGTCATGTATACCGTCCTTTGAATAACCGAAAACAAGATTTTTAGGGTTTTAGATCGATTAGAAACGGCTGTCGTCGTGAAATTTATCTGTAAAATCAGCGCATATTTTCCCAGAAAAAATGGCGATTTAGGGTGGTCGTGTTAAAACGGCATTTTCTCAAAGTTAGAAAAGCATTTGACCTAAAAAAATATATGGTGCATTTTCCGATATAATAAGGTATATCTGGGCAAAATTTGAGCAAAATCGATTTTTCAGTCGTGGCCGCGAAATGTCTCATATGTTCGATTTTTACTGACATTCACTCTTAAGCTTCAAAATGAATGTAAACATAAATATTTTACACTTGAATCGAGGATTCCTTTTTTATACACCCTTCCTCGTACCTGGGTGCTGTGCACAATTCCTGGTCAATCCTCTGAAAAGCTAGTAGACTATAAGCTTCGTTCTCCAATAGATTATATTTTTTCATTATTAAAGTTCCAAGGAATCAAGGTACTACTTTGGATGGCAATAAATCTAAAGAAATGAAAGGAAAACAAACGCAAGGTAATATGTTACCCATTTTCAAATGCTGATTATAAGGAAGCCTGGCTGGCCCACTTAGCCTTAGCGATATCTCGCCATTTAGTTATTTTTATAGTAAAAACCAAGTTGCGTTTATATGGACGACTGGACTGGCCCAGTTCCTGAGATCTTGCTATACCGGGATGAAAATTTCTGCATATAAACATTCACTGACTGGGGCTGGCACAGTTGCACTATTTTTAGCAACTGTCAAAACAATGTCAAATAAATGGCTAAATTTTCAAAACTACAATGATTCAAAAATTAATATTTGGTTTCATTGTATCTATATACAATTGCAAGCATGTAATTTCATCAACAAAACAGAAACAAAACTTAAACGTTTTCTTGCTAAACATGTTGCTACGAAAGTTGCATGGCTGTGCATATTTGTACATTCCAGTATCATACGTTGTTATGATCAACAACTAAAATTTTTACATACGTTCCTTTTTTTCTCCCATTAGACCAGGCCAGAGGTCGAAAAAAGCAGGCATGTTGCTACTGCGGAGAATTAACCACAAAGCTGCCACGCCATATGTCCAGAAATCACCCGAAGGAGGAACACCTTATCACGGCACTTAGGTTTCCAAGCGGATCAACCAAGAGGAAGGCGGATGTGGCACAAGTTGCGATCTCAAGGCACGCCATCCCTCGCATTAAAAATTGGTTATGCGTTGAAGAGGTGTGTTAACATCGTCATTGGTTACGCGTTGAGGATGAAGCAACAGAAAGATCTGCCAAAAATTTCCGACAGCTTTTGGAGACCGAATGGTCGCATCGCATCTCCCACCATTCGCTGACTACTCTCCGCAAGCGTAAATTTAATAAGGTCAATGTATTGCCTCTTGCCGAGGACCTTGATAAACTGAGAAAACACATTGACCTTAAAATTTGCAAGTCAATGAAGTCACTAAAAAAACATCCCAATTTGGGCGATTGGAGGCTGTTGGCCCAATCCAGTTTAACCAGATTGGTCATGTTAACAAACGCAGAGGGGGGGGGGGGGAGGTTTCGGAGCTTCGTGTTGAAACATATAAAAAAAGACCAGACTGGGGGAAGGCCAACAGCACAGAGATAATGAAGTCTCTAAACACGTTTGAACGAAAACTTTTGAAACAGTGAGTACCAGCTACATCATTTATGATTATAATTACAGATGTAACAGATAAAAAACTACACGTAATAATCACACATCGGTAATTTCAGATGAAGAAAATCTTTGATTTCTACTTCTGTTTGATTTCTACTTCTGGATATGAATATACTATATGTGGATATACATAGCTATGACATAGCTATGACATAGATATTGTTCGTGTCGTCATTACCAAAATATTAATCGAATTTATTAAACATTTTATTGAACATTTTCCGGTCTTTGAGCCAACCAGGATGAGTGCTGTGAAAAACAAAATGATCTGAATTAGTGAATGATTACGAATATTTAAAACACACGGAATTCAAATTTATATTACCTTACCTTAATGCTGCCAAGCTATCGTTCAGGAAGATGTTAGTATTTTATGTGAAACCATTAAAGAATATTTTGATATGTAAATGACAAAATGCAACATGTGTTTTTTCTTGGTCTTCTTATTTGGATGGTGACCAGTTTACTTCATCTATAGCTTATGCCTTATTGGAGATTAATATTTTTTACAGACTCGACATGGTGGAAATCAGAGGAAAACGAGGAAATAAGGTGCCAATCGTCTTAACAAAAGACATTAAAGAAAGCATTGACCTTCTTATCCGCACTAGGAAAAATGTTGGGATTCCAGACAAAAATCCATTCGCGTTTGCAAGGCCAACAAAACAGTCCTTGAAGCATATCCGGGCTTGTGACTGTTTAAAGAGATTTGCAAAAGAGTGCGAGCCACCCCTCTCTAATCCTGAAGATGTGACGGGTACCAAGCTGAGAAAATACATCGCGACAATCTCGCAAGTGTTCGCGCTGAAGGAAACGGAAGTGGAATGGCTTGCCCAACATCTCGGACACGATATCAAAGTCCATCGTTAATACTATCGGCTGCACGAATCGACCATTGAAATCGCGAAAGTGAGCAAACTGTTGCTGGTAGTAGATGGGGGGAACGCATGCAACTGGGTCGGGAAACGTCTTTCGGAGATCAATATAGATGGTAAGTGCAACACAGTTAACTTATCATACCTGTATAGAAAAAGACTTTCAATTGGTATTTTATTTTTTTATAACGCCAAACGACACAGGGCACTCGCATGGTTACGGCTTTTATTATACATTGTAGTCACTACGAGTCTTCTAATTGGCTAATAGCATAAAGCTAAATATGACAATCACGCAACCTACAGAAACGGAGTTAACTGCTGGCAAATTTTTTATATCTGTATAGAATGAGCCCATGATACATGGTTTTTACTACATTTTTGATTTTTGAAAACGTTGTTTTGTACGAAAGAATTTAAATCATTGTTTTTCGAAGGAGTTTAAATAGAATGCAATGTGTAATGCAATTTTTGAATTCGGGTTTTGTGATATCCGAAAATACCAAGGTCTCGGTAAGAGTTGTCAGGCAAAGTGAAGAGATCATAGAATCTCCGGAAACTTTTCTTTGCAAAGAATCATTTGTGATAAAAACAACTTAACTTAGTTATCTTAATATATTTGATCATATTTGACAAGTAGTTTTGAAGAACAAGGCTGTTATGACACATTTAGTCCCTCAACTACGAATTAATTCATCTTTGAATGATGAATTCCTCACTATTTGCCTCGACTTCGGGACTAGGAAACTTACTTACCTCTGCGCACTAATACAGGGCTTTCAGAATTATTCAGAGTAGGAGTATGTTTTGATAAAGTAGGTGGCTGTAGGGAGGGGACGGCCTTAGCGGTTGTCAAGCACCATTGTGGATGCAATTTGAGTGGGACTTGGGTTTGCACTATTTGTGCCAAGTCTTTATCGATAAGTGCATTTTTCACTCATGGAACGTGTGGAATATGTCCTAAGGAATTGGAAAATAGTAAAGCACCCCAAAGCACCCCGTTCGATTGTACTTTTTTTGCATCTCAAAATGTGTGTTTTTTCACAGCGTGACGATGGCTTCAAAGCGAACTTGTGGTCCTCCAACAGGCAACACTCCTGGAAAATCGCAGCCAAAATTATCAAGATCACCTAGCCAACCAACGTCGAGGAAGAGCCTATTTAATAATATTGGCGAAACAATAGAAAAACCTTGCAATAAAAAAGTTCCATGGACTGAATATGAAACAAAAACCTTAGTGCAATATATATGCCTTTACGCTGAAGATGCATGGAAAAATAAATGGCCCTCAAACAAAGATCAAGAGTTTTGGGGGAAATGTGCAGAAGCCATCAATAAAACTTGTAGCTCAAGTCGAACAGGTAAGCTAAAAAGTCAGTATTTTTGGAAAAGTTGAAAATGTTTATTTCAAAAGGGACAATGTCTAATAATATAAATGTACACTATTAAGTAAATTTTGCAACTTTGATTATTTAATTCTTTCATTTTTGCTAATTTTGTAAAGGGCTGTCCTGCCGAACTCGTGCCCTCAAAAATTTGGCCAAGAAATAAGCAACACTTAAAGATGCAGAGGAAGATCTTAATATTGATTATGTTGAGGATTGTATTAACTTGTGGGATGAACCTCTCAACACATTGCAACATGAAAGAGTGGACTATCAAACATTGTCTCCAATATTCAAAGCATCACCTGTTAATACGTCAACTGAGTCAAGGGCAACTGTTGGTGACATTGTTCGTGATTTCGATGCTTCCTTTAAGTCTACTATGTCACCAAGATTAAAGGAACAGTTGGTAAAATACTTTTATAAGCAGATGGTGATTGAAAGTGGTGGAATGAATTTCTTTAAATTTGTCGGGGCAGATTTTCTTAACATCAGTTTAAATGCAATGCGGACATTGTTCATGGCAGAAAAGCATAATCTTCTGCATAGTTTATCAGAATGTTTTGCAACAAAAGATAATGAGTTGCCAACAAGAATGCCATTAGACAGGATGCCATTTGGCTTAATAGACTATAATTTGCGTTTCTTTGCTGCAAATCGTGGTTGGAGACCATGTTTGCTCACTTTGGACATAAATGGGCATGCTTGCATCGTGGACCTTACTGGCAATCTGAAGTGGAAGAGTTAACCGAATTGCAACAGCAAGAATGTAATCTAGATTCTTCCAACTCAAGTAGTATTTTGGAGAGTGCTTTGGAAATGAGTGGCATCGATTTATCTGGTGAATTTATAACTAATGTGAATCAGTTCGATAATGGAGGTAATTCAAATGCGTCAGTTGAGTTAATCACTAAAACTGAAAGGAAGTATACTAATGGAATTTAAGGAATCCCTGTATTGAACATGAAAATAGGTCGCCCCTCCTAAAAATCTACATACCTCTTGTATTGCTAGCAGTCTTGGACAAAATTTAGGGAGATACCTTAAATGTAGTTCAATTATTGAAAGGCCATCAAAAAGGCCATTTGCTACTGGAGAATATTTTAACTTAACTCATTCTCATCCGGTCGAAAAGTAGCAATTTCGAGTGGTGTTGTTTCAAACGCTTATATCTCTCAAATTATACATCGCACGGAAACAGAAATTGCATCGTTCGAAAGAGGAGGACTTCTGCTTTCCAACGATACCAATTTCAATTTCATCCGAAGCTTGGTTAACGATTTACTCGCATAAATTTGCATAAATGATGATATAAAAAAATGTTGCAATTATGCATAAATGTATTTAGCGGTTCAAATTTCAAATATGTCAAAAAAATTTATGAATATGACTGAAAGACACGGCATAAATAGAAATATTTTTATTGAATTTTTATATAAACTAGGTAGTGGAGTAAAATTTACATTTTGTGCTCACATGAAACAAATACCTTTATCAAAGGTCCTTTTTTATTGCTGCAACATGTTATCAATACAAATTTCCAATATTTCTTACTCTCCAAAGATAGTATGGCACCAAAGTAAGTCTGTGATACCCACAAAGAACACTCAAATCATGATTAGCAAAATGTCTTTATTTCTACAATTACTACATACATTCTTAGATAATCATTACACCATTGACTTTAGTTATTAGTGGCATAACCAGCCTCAAAATTTGGTCATGCTATTCAAATTTGAAATAATCACTACTCATTTGTTTAGAAATTGATTGTTTTCACAATCCAGAACATGAAAATATTTGCAAATAGCATGACCAAGTGTTGTTGGGCTGGCATCATCATAATTAGTAGTTATAAAAAAGTAATGTTTTCCAAGGCAGTAATGTTTGCTAAAGCAGTAATGTTTGCCAAAGCACATAATTGGATTATGTGGTGAAAATATTTCCTTTATATTGTACTACAAAAGACCTAAGACTGTAACCAAACTGATATCAGATCACCACGTCATACCCAAATCTGTTGCGATGAATATCTGGACTTCTTCCTGTATAAATTTCAAAGTCGCAATATAACCATTAGGATTGTCTGCAGCAACCCACAGATTTATTCCCCACATAGTAGGTCATCTAGCTTTCATGAACTGCCTAACCCCAACCTATTTCTTGATTTGACAGTGTGTTTGTCTGCAACAACAATATTCTGTGACGGCTGGTACAGTTGTTGATGCAGCTTATTGCTGTAGTCTTTTGTACAGGATCTACCATATTCACAAACGCCATAAGCGCTTTGTACCTAACCCGAGAAATTATGTCTACTGCCCACAGACCATGATATAAGGTTTTTACACTCCAATAATTTTCAATCTCACTGTCGACCCTTTAGCAAACCTGCATATATTATACTAAAAGGCAATCAACCTCTCAAGGTTGGTGGACTGCAAGACCCTTTTTTAGTATATGGGGATAACTTTTGAGTTATTTGTATGTGGGCATATGTATTGGTATGGCCAGGAAACTACCTCCTGAAGCATTCCCTTAGTAAAAAAGAGTCGAATGAACTCAAGCTCACAGTTCATTGAGCCGAATGAACTCAAGCTCACAGTTGATCGAAATGGATCCTGGACATGTCAGTGAGGAGCAAAATCTGGGAGAACATTCCTGGCGTCAGGATCATCATATCCGTCATGTACTATGGGGCCTAGTGGGGATGCTAGACAGGGAGCTTTCGAAACCTTAGGTCCTAATGGCTGGGCTTCCCTCTACCTCTACTCATCCCCCTACCTTCCCTCTGGGTTGGTGAGTGGGGTTCTCATGACTCATCAGAACTCTACTTCCCTGAGGCTATGAAACAGGAACAGCAGATAGGAACAGGATCAATATATTCATCAGTGCGAATAAAAACTTTTATAGACATGGTGCCATATAAAATTATAAAAGAGCCAACTAGTAAGATATAAGTATGAATACTTGGCTATTATGTATGTAACAAACAACCAAACATGTGCTCAAGGCTCATTTTACTTCGCCTAGGAATCAGAGATTTTTATGCCTAAAACACCATAAATTTTCGTCAACAATATAAATAAATACCATTTATATTTGTCAATTTCAGTATGAAACGATTATTTCAACACAAAAAAGCGATATGAGGACATACTTGGTCATACTAGTGAAGCTATACTAAATACAAATAAATTTACAACGCCATGGCAACGGCAAAACATTGAAATTGTCTAGAAATGATACAAATACTTGCCTTGAAACTCCAGACACGACTCCCAATGCCAGGTTGAGATACTTGTCTTCATACGAAGACATTCCATCATTACTAGCACTATCAGTTTGCAAAATAAAGCCAAAAACGTCTTCAGAATGCGATTCAAACAAAACTACAACACAATACATTTCAACGCTCGTGCGTTCCCGTGCGCGATAATCAGGAAAATTGCTCTAAAAGATTTGTTTTTCTGCCTAAGCCAATCAAAATCCGTATCTAGGGTAAACAAACACTCCGGAAGTGATTCCTGCAGTCTTTTACCAGGAAACTGTAATGCTTTACCAAGAATTTGGCGTCCGAAGTTGGCCGAACACTTTCCGATCACGAGAATTGCCATAATAGGCTTAGATTATTTCGCAATTTCCCGAGACTGCTCCGAGCTATAGAATGGAAGATGGCGATTCTTTTGGTATATTTGTTATTATTATACGTGGAAAAGAAGCAAAAAGACGAGCATTTGAATCAGGCGGAACATTCAAAATGCAACTGCAAAATTGATAATGTGTCATTTGCATAAATTTCACCGCATTGATCATTTCAAGGTAAGAAATTCGCTTGAAATTGAGCGCGAAACAATAAAATTATATGAATATTTCTGAATATATAGTATCGATCAAGCGGAATTTTTTGGTGGTATTTTCGTATGTCTACTGCAAATACTCGCGAAGTTCTTTAATATTTAATCTTCCCGTCATATACGTCGGAAATTAATATTGGCGGATCGAATTGAGTTAAATTTTATTTTCTAACATAGCAGCATTTGCTAGCAGTTTCTGCTTGGGTCACTTCTATTTAGGAACAACTCCATCAAGAATTTGACAATTCACCTTAGGGTCTCTCGGTTCAAGAACTCCTTCATGCTGATCGTTTTGAGAAGGCGAAGTTCACCTGCTGGACAGCAAAGGAAAGGAGAAGGGTAAAGCATGCTACCAAATGTTTTAACTTAACTTATCATAGGTAAAATCATTGTTAACATAAATTCTACAGTTCTTTTAAACCTTGTTTCTGGTGACATCTTTTAGATTCTAGCAGTAGGAACTTGGTCTTCTTTAAGACAAGCTTCCACAAGAGAACTGGCAGCCAAGATCTGTGGCCTCCTCATGGTTAAATTCAATAAGGTACTGGAAACCACTGTAAGGCAAAACATTGCTCTTGTGGTAAGGACCTGACAATTGACAGACATTGATACTGATACTTTCCAAGTATTATAATAACCGGGGCGGATCCAGTTCCTAAGCTGACTGATGCCCAAGACCTCGCATTTGTAGGGGGCGGTCCGGGGGTATCCTCCCCCAGGAAATTTTGAAATCTAGGACCTCGGAAATGTGATTTCCTGCGTTCTGAGCGAACTCTTTTGTTCCAATTCATACATCACAGTCACAAAATTATTTGCTGCATTTTTGGAAAGCACGTAAAAAACTTGAACCTATATCGCAAAAACAACATAATTTCTCCATATAAGAAAAAAATATTTGCTTGTACAAGTTTTATAGCAGCAGTGGTACACAAGTCTCTATTGAAAAAAAGTCAGTACTGTGCTTCTTGTAGCCTTAACTTTTCTATTGAAAAACATTTCGGCAAAAAATCACGACAACGCAAATACACACATATGTGTAACAAAGGTGTATACAGTGTGATCCACTAGTTGCATTGCTGGATTCAGAAGGCAGTGTTACGTTGATTTTTAACCACCTTCCCTTATTAATTTCCACTAATTTCCAATGTTCCATGAGTAAAATCTTCTAGCATTAGAATTAGATGGCCGGCCAAGTCATCAATTTGTACAACTTGATGGCAACTTTATGTTAGAAGCTGGTAACAGACATTTTCTTATAGTTTAAGCCTTGGTGAACAAGACTATATGTGTTACCACTTCTGATTTTTGCTTTATAGCCAAAAATTTGAGAATTTTTAAATTTTGCCTATTAAATTACTATGATCGGAAAAAAAGTAAAATTTCATGTTCTCTTATACGAAAAATAAACTATACCACTAGAAAGAGCGTAAAAAACTGTATATAAGACAATTAAGTGAGTTCTACGTTTTTCCAATCCTATTTCGAGTTTTTAATGTTAAAAAATGCAGAAATGACCAAATTAATGCTAATTAGTACCCATTTTGCCAACTTTAACCATCTTTAATTCAAAATCGGCTTGAAAATCGCACTAGTCGCCTAAGTTATCTTATATATAGTTTTTTACGCTTTTTCTAGTGGTATAGTTTATTTTTCGTATAAGAGAACACAAAATTTTACATTTTTTCCGATCATAGTAATTTAATAGGCAAAATTTAAAAATTCTCAAATTTTTGGCTATAAAGCAAAAATCAGAAGTGGTAACAAACACAGTCTTATTCACCAAGGCTTGAACTATAAGAAAATGCCTGTTACCAGCTTCTAACATAAAGTTGCCATCAAACTCTCTTTAGAGGCACTTTTTGCCACCTTGGCCGGCCGACTAAATGGTGCATAAAGGTATTTTGTGCTCTAGTGGGTAAACTTATTTATATACAACTCTGTCTTATGCTGCTAATCTTACTCTGTATGGACAGTGTGGTTGGCATCAGTTGGTCAATTTCATTCGCCCCTAGCTGCCTTTGTCATGAACTGCATGGTCAATAGCCCACACTCTGAATACTGCGAATATTGCCCTGTGACCAGGAAACCAGTAAACTAACACACAACAAGCACTGGGTTTAAAATTCTATAAGTATAACTAGGTACACACGACCACAAATTTTAAATCAATAGAGACTGTGTGTAAATTGATTTAATGAACTATCTTAGTTGGAAATTGTTTGTCAAATGAATCTACCAAACTGTACAATGATAAACAATATATCATGACATAATTGAATCATGTCTTCTATCTGTCCCCTTTTGCCTGCCTTTCAACTAATATTAATATAGTATTCTTTTAAGATGTTGTCAATGTAGAAAGGCTGCACAGTAGTATTGATGAATATTTTCCCTGTATTATTATATAAATGCACATCTTTGTCAAATATATCCATAGACTTATCAATGGTAATCCTCAGGGTGCCATGCTGGCTGTCCAAAACATAGTAGTGGGACAATTAGCACTACTGGATCGGTAGCGTGGTATTTACGTGAACCGCACGAAAGCCGGAAGTGAACTTTGCACTTAACGATTGCATCAGACAATGAAATACAGATCGAACTGTTTAGGTTTATATTTAAGGGAAATAAATACATAGTTTTGTTAAAAATATACGGCTAACCAGGAACTAAGTTGGATGCACTATTATCTAAGGAATATCGCCACAGAAGTAAGACATTTTCGAACAGTTTATTGACACATTTAGCCTAGTAATATTGGATTTAAGTTACGATATCTAAATATTATTTAATTACTTTATTTACTTTATATAGATCGAATTGTACCTTGGTATATTTAATGATTCGTTATTAATTTATCAATAATACGATTTGCGATACTTCCTTTGCGTGTGCATGTGTGTTTATATGGATTTTGCTAACCGGTCGTCTCTGTTCTGAGGAAACACTATTCGATTTCTTGCTAACTACGTATTCCGAGGAATTTGAGACGAATTTTACGACGATAAACAACGATATTTACAATGCCACCGACCGAGGATATCGAGGAGACATTAAAGAAAGCTAAGATGAAACGACGAAACGGAAAATCGACGTTAACACGCCTAGGAAAAGTTATTATTGTACAA